GCTCAAATGAAATCCAATTTAAGAGCTCAGAATCACTAAAAAAAACCGCTGATTTGCGTCCATAACGCACAAAACCGCGCTGGAAACCACGTTATGGCGCAAACGTCTGCGGACAAATGTCTTCCTCCGAGGCCAAACTGTCAACTGCCACGACCGGGATTTACTGAGGTGTGTGCGCGTGCGCGTGCGCGTGTTGGACAGAGCGATCCTTGTGCACCGCCGCAGTCTGGAGGCGCACTTTGGCGCACTTTGGCGCAGCTGCCCCGGTGTTGTTTTAACGGAGGCTGCTGGATGCGTGCGCGTGTGCGTGTGCGTGCGCGTGTGCGCGTGCACCTCTGGGCCTCAGCTGTCAGCCACCGGCGCGCTTCTCGTTGCCAGTGACGTCATAAAGATCGAGCAGAAGCTTTTATTTCTCTTTTTACGCGCAACAAGACAAAGTCCAGATCGAAAGAAAAAGTTCCTCTCGTGGGAAACAGAGAAAAAATAAAATCTTCAAAGACAAATCCACGTGTCAGCTGACACGCGTTCATGTCAGAAATAGAACCGGGTTGTGTGTTGGTAATCAAACAAAGTTTGTCCCGTTCAGAGTCACAACAAAGCGTGTAAATCCCCAGATTTCCCCCCAGTGGAACCAGGGACATTTAATTTCATTTGATTAAATGAGATTTACATCACAGGAAAAAAGAGGGAGCATTCATAGATTTCTGCTTCTGCAAAACCAAAGCTGCAAAAACCTGGTTGTGGTCCACAGATCCACAAAAAAAAACAGCTGAATCTCTAAAATCTTTTCTGGAAATGGTCCATTTGGTCCATTTAGGGCAGGATGAGCTCTTTTGGGGTTCCTCTGGCATGGCAGGAATGTTGGCTCTGAACCAGAATGATATGAGGTCAGGGGTTGGGTGGGGTGGGGGGGGGGGGGTGAAAAGTTCTGTCTTTTATATTTCTAAACACAGCCACATTGTGCACACAAGTCCTCCATTCAGCTGCTATTCACAGCCCAAAAGGCCCACTCCAGTTTCCCAGCAGAGCTCACGATATCTCTAATATTTCCACTGAGTCACCACCAGGAAGTCCCCCAGGTCCCCGACAGCATGTGGCCCCACGGTGAGTCTCATAAGGGGACACCAGAGGCCAGAAAACGGCTGAAATCTAGACAGAAAACGTCTGAAATCTCGATTTCTTACGAGCCTCAGAGCCAGTAGCCTCATAGACACCAGCAGTTATTAAAATTGTTTGAGTTTAAAAAAGGAAACTTAGCCGAATAAGTCATGAGAAGGTCTTTTAACCTTAGTTTGTGTTCACAAGATGAATGGATTATTACTTTTTTTATGAGGAAATGCTCTCTTTTACCTAAATAACTCAATAATGATCTTATTATTTTCCATTTTTCTGATGAAATCACCCTTTAAAACAGTACAAAAAAGTTGCGTCCCTTTTGATTTATTTTACTAAGAGTTGTGCGATATTCTTCTGTCCTTAAGAAATCTTTTAATTTATTGTTTTTGTGGTTAATTTGGAAGTTGTTGTTTTTCGAATCTGATGTAATGGAGGAGTTTCAGGTCCCTGACGGCATGTGGCCCCACGTTGAGTC